TTCCTAGTCCATCTCTACTTTCACTACTTCTCCCTTAGTTTCTAGCTGACATACTGAACTTCCTGTGGAATCATTGTTGATCTTTCTGGACAAAACACTGACCCAAAATACCAAATTTAGTATGTCCACATATATTTCATTAAAAAAATAAAAAAGAGAGAGGACAAAATGTTGCTGTTGACATCATACGACTCACTCAAACTCAGCTTGGCACTTCCTTTCAATCATCTCTAATGTCTGCCCATTCTAGCCTCGTTTCTTTTTATATAATCTTTAGCTACCATTAAAAGTTCTCTCTTCAAACAAACACAGCTTTCACATTCTTATATTTTGTAACACAAAGCAGTTGTCAAGCCCAATCTAATTGTTCAGTGAGCTATAAATCCAATAAAGTTTATTATCCTGAAATATTTCCTATATCCCAACCCAATTCTCCTGTAATCCCAGCTTTTCCCATGTCCCATGATCGGCAATACTATCAGTTCTTCCCCAAACTCCAAATTCTCCCACTGCACTCTGGGTGAATAAGCTCAAATACTTTTTATAGAAGGCAGAAGAAAAAGTGTTCTTGCCTGAAAATTTGAAGTTGCCRTAAAATAAAATGACTTAAAAGCTTCCACTGTGTACTAATCTGTGCTGCATATTTTCAGTTTGCATGAATATGACTARTTCCAGAAAACAAAAGCTAGTTAATTTTCTTGTATGTGAATTTTATTCTTAAATTATAGATGCAATATAAATGCCAGCGGTTAGTATTTCACTAGCACACAAGTCTTACCAGCTTAAGTCAAAAGTACCAAACTACTTTACATAGCAACTCAGATACCCCGACTACAATATTTCTTTGTGCTGCCTAATCTCTCAGTTTCTACAAGGCACATATGCACCTTCATGACAAGAAAAAGAATCCGCAAACACATAGGCAGAGTAAAATACATTCAATTAAATATCAGAAATAAAAATAAAATTGATAATTTACAATGATATTAAGCATTACACTATGATACTTTAATACAGAATTATGGATTATACCATCTGAAGTAGCTTTTGAAATGCTTATCTACTTTAGAAGGCAAAGAATCAAGGCAATAGACTCAGGCCTAGTATGCTAACATATACAAGTGTGGTTGACTACCTCGACTACACARGATAATTATGTCATTCTAGCTAAATAAATTAAACAAATTAGACAAGTTACATATGAGTTAAAGTCTTTTTTGGTATTAGAATTTGAGGTATATGAAGGTGGCTATGGAGTTATAGGAACGAGCTCTATCCTTGTACAGAGACAGAACAGACATTAAAGCAAAACTGCTATGGCCATGCCATATGTCCTTAAAGGATAGGAAAATACAATCAAGAACAGATTACCCGTTATCTCCCAAGACATTTGATAGCATGTCCTCTCATAAAGGAGAAACATGACACTTGAACAAAAGTGCAGACCTTCAGAAGGTGATTAGTTCTTGATACAGAGATGTTCAGCCATCTTTTGTAAGAGACCTGAGCCAGAGTTAAATTTCTGAAATCCAAGATGCCTCTCCAGCTTTTATTTCTCTTCAATACTAACAGATAGCAACTTTGAAGCCACATTTTAAGAAGGACCTAGTTTAATGAGTCTAGAACTAGCACTATTTCCTGGTAAGTTATAGCAAAAACTATTCTGAAACATTACAATGAGAAGCAGGGAAGTGATCTAGTTTGAACAGGAACACTTTAACTGGTGCTCATACTTTAAAAGACACATCAATGTAATTTGGCTTCAAGGGGAATCAAAATAAGACAGTGTGCAAAGCAGAGGGAGGAAAAGCAGAAAGACAGAGTCTTTGTTTCTTGATATACGTTGAGATAGAAGAATACTTGGGGGAGCATCATAYGTGYAGATGAGGCACTTAGGGACATGGTTTAACAGAAATGGTGTTGGACTTKAACTCAAAGCTCTTTTCCAACCATAACTATTCTATGTTTCAACTGTAGAAAATAACTAGTACCAGAAAAAGACATCATGTGCCACCCAAAATGTTCTTGTGGCCTGTAAGTCTAATCCTGTTACTATGGAAATCAAGCAGTGACCCCAAGTGTTTCTCATTTTCCTACTAATTGAGCTAGGAGCATAAGGCACAAGAGCTTGTTCTCAGACCACTAAGACACATGACAGATGTCTTAGTAATGGGACCAAAACTTGTCTTGGACTCYGACACAGAAAGCATTTCAAGGAGAGCTGCCCTGATTGTATCAGTGCAGAAGTGTCTTAAAACAGTGAAGGAGCTGCCCTCCTCAGAGGGAAGTTGAAGAGAAGGAGGATTAAATACTAAAAAGAAGCCCAGAGGAAATATCCAATTCATTAGATGCCAGAAAATTCACTGTTAAACCCTTTACAACGCCTTTAGCAAGGCAAAGCACAAACATAAAAAGGAAAAGGAAGGGCTCCAAATCCATAAACTATAAGGTCAGGATCAAGGTGGACTTAAAATGAAATCTCTTCCTCTCCCTTCTTTTTCCTTCATTTCCCCAAACTTTCATATACCACCAGCTGAGAGCAGAACGCAAAGAAAAAGGTTGATAAGCTGCTCCTCTCTGAACATCTACACAGATTAAAATGTTTCTAATCACAGGGAGAGTTAAAGATCCCTTATTCAATAGGCTTAGCCAAACAGTCACAAGTACCCAAAACAGAATCTGCAGGAATTAGGATGGCAGACTTTCCAGGTGCAGAGATGTCAAACAGCATGGTTTGAACATATTGATGACCAGTTTCCATTAGAACAGAAGCAGCCTTAACTTCTCCAGTTACTCYTTTCAGGCCTCTATAAAAGAGAGATCAGCTGCAACATGCTCTGCTTTTCCTCCCTTGCCAGCAATGGTTGGCACATACAGCCCTCAGAGAGGTTTGCTGGCATCACACGTGAAATCAGTAGCCTTCTTTGGGGAAGTAATCTTAGGCAAGCATTCTCTCCTAGGTGTACAAGCCAAGAGTTAGAGGTCTCTGTTCTCAGCATGAGGAAATCGCCTAGCACGTGAAAGCAAAGATGTCAGGATTTTAAGAGAACATCAGATGAATCAAAAGAATATATCTTCCCTTTGTTCTCTTAACAAGCTTATCTTTATTTAAAAAAAAAGTTTAGTCTGTTTCACAGACTATGTCTTAGGCCTGTACCAGAAAGTAACCAAGATGAGRGGTAGAAACTTGGCCCTTTCATACCAACCACACACATTGTGGACGCATAAGTGTAGGCCCAAGTGAGTTCACCTCTGCTACTACCTCTAAGAATAAAAAGCAACCCAAAAATCTAATTTGTAATATTGTCAGTCGCATGGTGCCAGCATGTATGTCCATACATACAATTACATGGCTCTGGAATTCTTCTATCTCTTGATAYGACACAAGGGAAGTTCCTCATTTCACACACACTCTTACCGTGACCTGTGCTTGCATAAAGTCCTTTGAAAATAAACCAAACTGGAGAAATTTTGTATAAATGACTGAAAAGGCTTGCATATTTGAAAAAACAGTTTCAAAATGCTTACTTACTTGATTATAAGTGTTTCATCCTGAAACAAAGTGGTAGTTACACTACTAGCTACAGCTTTCCAAGAAACACCAGGGGGCTTAAGAAGCTTCTGACAGACACCCACATCTAGGACACAGCAGCTGACAGCTTTTACAATTCACATTATTTTTAGAAATAAGATATATGAAAAAAATCATATACAAGTTAAAGCAGTTCATACCCAGTGAATATGTGCATCAACACTATCCRCAGGTGATATATTGAAGAATGACAACAATTTGCATTTCTATGGTTTCTTTTTCACTCCTAAATTCCTAAAGCATTTTGCAATGCAATAAATATCATGCACAAAGAGAAACTGATAGAATATCAATACAGTAGTGTCTTTCAGCACCCAAACTTAGCAGCTGTACTAAAACCAGCAATACTTCTCAACCATGACAGCCAATTAATCTGAAATGGTTCAGCCYGTCAGGACCTTTACATAATAACCTGAACCGCCATAAGATTTTATCTGTAACTCTCTGATACCAGTGCGAAAGGAGAGCAATTTCACTAAGTCACTCTTTGCTCTCTGTTACCTGGCCAGTGGACACGTTTTCCCAAGTTCTCCAAATGCCTTAACGCTGTGCCCTATCTTAGGGCTCTGTGACCTTATGCTGTGTTTTAAGTGCACTCCCAAATCCATATATGTTATTCACAAAGCACRAGAGAAATATATTAATAAAAGCAGCTGTGGCAGCACTACTAGCAGTAATAAATGCAGCAGCAAAGAAGAGATCCTTGAACCGGTATTTCCATGCTCACTACCACTCATCATAAATGAGCACCCCTTGGCATTGTAACTTAACAGGGCTGCTATTTAATCTTCAGGAGCCAATTCAGACACCAACTCACACCCGCTCTTCCACGCCCTCCTCCCCGTACTGCCTCRGCCTCGGATGCTACAGGTGCAGTGACTTGGAGAGCATCTCCACAGYGGCCGCCCGGGCCGGTGCCGTCCTGGCGCGCGTGCGCTCCGGRCAGCGCGAGCGGCAGCAGCAGCAGCCGCCTGGAACCATCCTCCAGGGGTCACAATTGGGTTACAAATTCCGTGAAATGTGATGACTGTGCAGCCCGATTTGGAGCAATTTATTCACATCCTTCTTCATTAAGATTCAAGTGAAATAAGTAAGATAGAAATTGAACAGATACAGAAATTGTGCAGAGCTTGCTTCTGTAGTCAGTAAACATTTATTCACCAAGCACAGCTTTCTCGCGCGCGCGCTCTCTTGTATTCTCCCTCTTCCCTCATCCTTCCTGCTTGCTGTTTTAATGCATAATTAAGAAGGTCAGAATTAATGAAGCAGTGTGGAGTAAAGTTCAAGGAATCCCCAGGCACTATTTATTCTATTAGATCTCAGGCATGAATGTCAGATTGCCAGCATTAGAGGCAGAAGCCRTTGATCTGGCAGCCATCCAGCAGCAGAACCACCAAGGGAGCCTTACCTGCAGTGTCAAGTCATTCCCGAGCTCCTTCCCTGCAAAAATCACACGCAACTGGTCAGCTGGAACTCCCTGTCGCTTGGCAACCACCTCCTTGAGCTGCAGGATGCTGCTGTCCGAAGCCACCTCCACGGGGAAGCCATGGCTGGAGTTGAACCTGACAAACACTGGCCAAGAACAAAATACCTTTTAATTGCAAGCATTTCTAGGGATGTATCTGTATTAAAGCAGAAGAGAGGCTTCTCAGCCCCAGGCTGCAGGCATAATAGCATTTACTATTTTAAGAGAAAAACCTATTAATACTGCAATATATCATGCTGAAAGGAGGAACCGTGTGGGATTTCCCATCGTTGAACAGTTAGTGACCAATAAACAAACAAAAAAACATGTGTTTTCCCTTGACAGTGTTATAAATTACCAAGAACAGTTAGTATCAAAAGACAGACCTAGCTCGGCAAGAGCCTAAGTAACTACTAATTGGCACTGTAGATTTTCAGCTCTGCCTCCACGTTAGCAGGCGCAGGGAGCACACAATTGCTGTGCCCCTCATGCTCCTGCCCACTGCATAGAACAAAAATGCAGGAAACMGAGGCCTTTTCTGGAACTGAGAGGCACTAAATCACACGAGCAAAAACAGTTCCTTGCTGCACATGAAAGCAMAGTCACACGAACTGGTTTCCCACTGTTCTAATTCTACAGGAGATAATAAGGGGGAGACAAATCATAGGCTTGCAGAAGTGTTTGAGGGCGTTCTCCTTGGATGTGGTCTTTTTCAGAGCTCACTAATATCTGCAGCGCAGAACTCCCGGTGGCTCCCACCCTCGGTGCAAAAAGTCACCGCTGCACCAGCCGTATCAYTTGCAGAGCTGCAGCAACTGGTTTATCCCTCCCTCCAGAGAAGCCTGGCAAGGAGCCTGCCAAGTGGCCACTCTCCAGTCCCTGGAGCTGCTTGTGATGAGGCTCCCAGAGCACCCGAGACAACCAGGAGAAACCTCACTACACCCATACCCATCACGGAGACTGTGTGGGCAGCACACATGAGCCCAGGGAATTGCTTCATACTCACAGTTGCAGGAAAGCAAGGAACTAGTAATAAGACAATATAAAACAAAGCAAAAAGACAATGTAAAATAAACCAAAAAATTAGAAAGYGGCTACCTGCCACCACACTGCCCAGTAACAACCACTCTTCTTGAAGACTTATTTTTTATTCCCAGTACAACATTTTAGCTGAAGATGTTACACTATTGAATTGGAGACTGACAGAAAGTCAGAAGTATTTATACAGTTTAGAGAAATAACTTCATTTTTTTTAAACTGGAATTGGGATACTTATGACTTTTCAAGTACAAAGTCTACCTGAGCACTCAAAAKTTCGCAAGTGTTTTAAAAGCATTTGAATACAGCAGATGAGAACACTGTCATTGTTTCACTAAACAGAGAAGGCTGCAAATATTTGCAATTCCACATCTGTCACTCAAATTTTGATATTCCTGGCTAACGTTTAAATGGCAAGGCTGCATACCAATAGAGTTCTAGACAAGAGCTTAAGTCTGGGACTTGAAAGTACTCTCTTAATATACTATGCTATGTCCATACACAAGCCATCCAATGTGATACAGCTTCCTGTAGAACCTTTTATGACAGGTTTTGATTTCTATTTTAAGGGTGTCCTGGAAATAACTGAACTGTTCATGCCTTACACTTCAGCTGCCCATACATAAGTAAACATTGGAATTCAAATTTCATTTTAATTGCAGAGTACAAGAGGAATTACATGACAAAGTAATTCCAGCAACGAGAAGCTGAAGATCTCCCATTCTTCCAGGTACACTCATAATGATCAACTATAAATGACATTATCTTGGACAAGAGCAAAAACATATTCATAAAACAATAGGGAATATGCTTTTTCTACATTTTGYATGCACATAAGTGTTTATTTGTACACATGTATATAAATATTGTTTATATATTTATATACACATAATATGGATATATGCAGGTCTTCTTGGACATCTCCCTAACTAATAAACACTTCTCCTCCCCTTTAGTCTTTCAGAAGCCAGTGCTACTGGGTTTGGACGTAAAAATAAGTCAGCAATTGCATTCACTCTTTAAATCAAATGCACTAGTGAGGGGAGATTGKTTGATGACAGAAACACAAACAAATAAAGTAGCAGTTAAATGAATTGTAAAGCAGTACTTGTTTTCAGCAGACAATATAAATCCAACACACTGCAAGCATCATATATGCTCACCATCAACAACTCCACTCTCCTCTGCAATAAATTCATTTTTATTCTGCTCTAAGAGGCTCCCAAGGTAAGTGTTGCTAATCACAAAACCCTGAACCCAAGTGAACCCGGCRACAATCCTACTTTAAGCATTCGTATTTCAAGCAAAGTACTGAATGGAGGAAAGTGGTATAACTGAAAGAGAGAGGAAAGCAGAGGCATAAAACTATTTCATAATGTCTTTTAGACCTCTAAGATACAGCAGCATACAATACCTTCTATATTCAATGAGTCAAATTAACACTGATGTCTTGTTTGGAAGCCATAGCAACAACTGTATAAGTTTACACTTGAAGAAAAAGCAACTTATACATGTGTCTGTATACACACAAGCACAAAATGAATTCTTTCCCTTTTCACTGATCTGGTGATTCCAGGCCAAACCCCTCTACTAAGGAGAGAGAYTTCTCAACCAAATCTTTCAAAATGGAACACCTTTTCTGAGTGTGCACCTAAAATATAAGAGGGTGTTTTTCCTCTCTCTCCTGCTTTGTTCTGGTCTGGAACAATGACTGAAGTGGTAGCAGCTGGTTCCTTGGAAGCCCACAGGACAGACCATTACTGCAGGTGTGACAGAAAGGGGTGGTGGAAATGCATTTGTACTGAGCAATGCCTTTCCCTCAAGGTGTGCTMGGCTGGTACTACAAAGTCTGAACACACAGAATACACAGGGCTGCAGGGTAAATAACTACACAGGTGCAGACATGACATGAGAGATTTTACATATCAAATAAATTCTAGTCTATCATGTAACAGCAGGAGAAGCAAGGAGTGACACTATTCTTTACCACGACACCCCAAGTTGTGCCAAAGAGCTAAGAAGTACACAGAATTAAACACCAGTTAGAATTAAAAGCTCAAGTTTCCACATGTAGTTTTGGAGGAAATCAACTGTCAAAATAGTATTACTTCCTATATCAAAAATTTAATGTATTCACTTTTTTGTACTTTCTGCAGAACTAGAAGTACCATATGTGTTTTCTTTCTGTAGCACTATATGGAAATAAATCTTTATTCTTCCTGTTATCTTGAMTTCTCTATTTGGATTACGTCCCTCAGAATTCACCATGAGCATAAAMCACAGAAAGAAGCTTGCACCATAGTCACGAGAAAGCAGCAAAGCTCAACCAATGCATTTCTTCTGAAATGGTGAAGAGCTTCTATGGYTTTTTTTAATTTGTATTCAAATGAACATAGTAAAATTATAAGTTCGCTTCAAGTGACTTGGATTAGTAGATTCACGTATATCGAGCTATTTCATTCACATGAATACAATACATAAACGCACTTATTTGGAATAAAACATTGCTATCCTGAAGATTTCATGGTTCAGGAACAGTATAATGTATCATTTCATCCATTATCAAGATAAAGTCAGGAACACAGTTCAACCAGTTAGGATACAAAATGATGCATAAATTTCTCACATGAAGAACTATTTGTGAAGGAAATACAAGTGACCATGACTGCAATTAAACTTAGTAAATTTAAGACACACTGTCCCTAACCATCTCTCCATTTTTTTTTTTGCTGAAGGTTGCTATGTACGACATAACAGATATACCAAAGGAAACATGATTTGAGTACCTGCATCTGAGCCAGCAGGACCCCCCACCAGGGTCACCACAGGACATGGGCCAGATACTGCACCTTCTTTGTGCAAGTCACACCAGAAGTGCCAGTGCTTTAACCCTCGTTGTCATCAATACTACATCTTTATTATTTTTCCCCAGTTCTAAATCAATAAGATTTATGTTTCTCATTGGAGAGGCTTGGGCCTCTGCTTGTGARCAAACTACAAAGGCAAAAGCTCAGTACATGAGACCAAAATACTGATAYTGTGCCAAGACTGAGAACAACAATAACAAATGTAGCTATTTCCACCTTGCTAAATGCAAAACATAAAATAGCTGATTCTTTTTCTTCCTTACGTACCAAGCCACAACCAAAGAAAAGCCATCTTCTAGGATATATGACCTAAAGCATATGACAGAATGCACACCTTATTATAATATTTCCTGGTTTTCAGTGTGCAATGGAATTGTAAAAATTGGAAAGTAGTAAAGCACAAGCTTATGGAGAAAAAAATGAATAAGTCTACAGGAGTACCTCAGGGCTGTAGAAAGAAACACACCACTAATCAGTACAAGTCCCATTAAATGGGTAAACTACTTTATGTGAAGATTTTTAGTGCATCTTTGCAGCAACTCTAGCAGCCTGAAATTGGTACATCCCAGATTTGCACATCTAGATTCTGCATTAAAATCCAGAATTTTGCATTAGAAATTTTTCCAGMAGTTTTAGTTCTGAGAAACAAAGACATTTTAGCCAGCTTTGTTCTCTTTTCTACCCTACTTCTGCTCCATTTCATCAAGTCTTGCTTYGGTGGCTGGCTCTAGTGCTGTGAAGTTGTGAAGAGCTGACTTTTCTTAACTTTCTTCTTGATATATATAAAAAAATATTTTTAGAAACTTTAAAGTAAGCAGTCCCACAGGAATTCTCCTATTCATCAGTTCTTCATTAGTTAGTAAAAATATCATCAGGCTTCCCAAGAATATTCTAACAGATATCTTTTCCTCAAAACTTTGAGTTGAGGCAGCAAGATCTAGAATCTAGATCTAGACACCCTTGCAGTGAACATCCTGCCAAATAATTCCTTCTTCTAAGACAGGAGTCCAACTAACCTTCACTGTCTGCCAAGGAGTGATGTGATAAATCAGGGAGCGTAACCTTTTCCACTTCAGGTTGTATGGCTGAAACTCCAGCACTTTCAACTCTAACTTGAGACCATGGGCTGCCATTGAAGGTGCTGAGACACCAGTATCACCTTCACCTGGCAAAACCTCCTGCTTTGGCACCAGGTGTAACAATCACAGACAGACAGGTATAYGCAATCAAGTTAACAACAACTTGAYTGGTTACCACTCATTGCTAAGCTGCAATACTTGGCAGCCTTAGGCCTCCATGATCATTGAGGTTGTGAAATAAAGCACATTAATGTAAGCTAGCTTCACAGCTGCAGCAGCAGAAGAGCCTACACAAGCAATAAAGGGCAACTCATTAACCTGGTGCAATTTGGTTGCCTCTGATCATTTATAAATTACATTCACCTAAAAATGATTTTATGATGTAGTTATACATAGACAGCACACAGTAGTCYATAAAAAAACTGCATCTCCAAAGTCACATCTTGGTAAGATTGTTCTTCTCTTTTGCAAGGTATGAACTCTCTTCACAGCAACACTTCAGTTATTACTCAARGAATATCATAAAACTATTCCTCAATTATTAACTCTATTTTCTATATTGAAATTTTTGCTCATTCTGYGTACACTTTAAATAACTATCAGATTCAACCATTATTGAAGAGAATATTTATGAAAAGCAATATAGTAGTACTCATAACTGACACATTTGTGCCTSTTGAGCATTCTACCAAGTCATGAGCAGCACAAAAGGGCTGAGTAGTGATTGAGCAATCACTTCCACAGCAAGTTTTAACAGGCATCAAGTCAAGCTGGTAGGAGATAGATCCAAAAGAGGCAAAACGAGATGTTAGACCCACTGGAACTCTGCCAAAGAAGTGGCAGATGCAAAATTTCTAACACARGCTCAGTGGGAAATCAGAAACTGATTGCCAGTTACCATATAAACTGCTCAGTAATCTCTACATTGAAAAGAGGGGGACAATATAGACTAGCATAAAATAAACTGC